ATATGTATTTTCACATCATTGAATATGTGGATGAATGTACTTGAATTTATGATGTTGGGGGTTGCCTAATAATTTGGCAATGTGAAATATACATCAAATTAATGTTCACACCATGTATTTGACTATTTGTGATGATGTTTTGTGATTATTTGTGTCATTTGAATGTTCACACCCTGTATTTGACTGTTTGTGATGATATATCTTTTGTGTTTGTTTGTGTCATGTAAATGATCACACTCTCCTATCTCCAATATTGGTAATTTATTTCACATTTATATTTGTGTGAATTGTGAACAATGTAGCCTTGGTGTTTGCCATTGTGTGACTCTCATTATGTCTTAGTTTGAATGATCACATTCCTGTGAAAATTCACATTATGCTAATTGTCATGGCAAGCAAGATTTTGCATGTTCCATTCAAATTATTTCACCTTGTTCACACCAAGAAATTTTACCATTCACTAGCGTTACATGAAAAACATTGACATGGGTTTGGTCAAATATTGTTATGTGAATGTTTGTGTCGATATGGCCTATGTGAATGTTCACAATTTGACTATCCTCGTAGCTTTGTTCAAATTTTTGTAGTCACGTGAATGTTCATACCACTTTCTTATGTTCCAACTATTCTTTCCCGTCTTCCCTTCCTATCTTTAAATTGAAAACACCACACTTCACATCTCTCTCTCTCTCTATCTCTCTCTCTCTCTCCTTTGTTTAATTCTAACTATTTTTCCCTCCTTTCCTTCCTATCCATGTCTGACATACCACCCCCTTATTTCACAAACCCTAACTCATCATCTCTCTCTCTTTCTCTCTCTCTCTCTCTTTCCATCTCTATAACACCCTAAAGATAATATCCACTAAACAATTTTAAAAAAAAATACTCCATACATCCAAACAACACAATTCCATTCCGATGTTTCTTTTTCTCATTGAACTATACTTTTCAATTACAATATTACAAGTTGCAGCTCATAGTTCAATAAGTAAGAGAAAAATAACAGAAATACATTGTCTACCGAGCATACTAATTACATTGTGCCACTTGATACAAAAGATATACATTTTCAAAATAAAATTAATTAAGAAGTTCAACGATTCTATAACAAATTTCAAAGTTCACAAAAATTTTAGATATTAAAAGAGATTGACGTCTTCTTCTTCTTCATTGATGGGGATAGAGCTCTTCGTGTCATGAAATGTTAGTAAATAGGAATGAGCAATTGCCCAATAGTGAATATATTTAACCAAGTATATGTATATTTGATGTAAATTATACATGATCTCCATCAATACCCATGAATTAGATTGTTTACAATTTTATAACACAACACAATTTAACATTCAATCTCCACATTTTTCCGTCCTCACACGGATGGCCAGTGGACACCTCAAATTTTTCACTTTTGTCATCCTCACAAGATCCGGCAAGTGGACACTTCAAAATATTCCCACATTCGTCGTCCTCACACGAATCGGGCAAGTGGGCACCTCAAACACATTCTTACATTTGTCGTCCTCACACGAACCGGGCAAATGGACACCTCAAACACATTCCAAAACAATAACATCTAACACATCACTAGGACCCTCTAATTTTACTTATCAATTATCCATTAAGTCAAAATCAAGAACAATGCTTAGGGTTACACATTAAAATTTCAGGTTTTTCCTTTCAAGCATCAATTTTCCTTCATTCATGTCTATTTACTTAATTTTTCATAATTGGTTACCCAACCCATCATCAATTTCACCCAAAACACATCATCAACACAAAATCCATATATACATACATATATATATATATATATACAATCAGTCGTCCCTTCAGTTACATTCAACCAATTTAATATCCTACCTCAAGGGTTGCAAGAAGATAGATGAAGATCCACTCAATGAACTTTTGAAATAGCATGATCTAATTAGTTCAAAATGTAGCTCTTGGCATGAATAGCAACTTTAATGAAGGCCTAAAGATCAATTCTTGCTATTACTAGATGAAATCTAGATTTTTAAGTCAGGGTTTTGGAAAGGGGATTGGTAGAGAGAGAAGGAGTGTGAAAGAAATGAGCCAGAAAAGTGTTTGGATCGCATTATAACTCTGCTGCTCCAAATAGACCGCTCAAGTGAACTTTTCATCACTTGAGCGAAGGGCCAAAATATAAAGAGAATGCTCGAGCGAACTTTCCACTGCTTGAACAGTAAACACAAGGTCTTAGAAGTTTTGCAGAGCTACAGTGAAAATACTGGGAGTTTGAATTTTACGCTTGAGCGATCTTTCCTTTACTTGAGCGGTCTCGCCTGCAGACTTGTAAGATATTGGGAGCTACAAATCTAAGCTCGAGCGACCAAATAATCGCTCGAGCAGTCACCCAAAATCGGCTGTTACAACCTACCACCCCTTAAAGAATTTAGTCCCCAAAATTTCATAATTCTTGCCAAAACAACTCCAACAGTTCCCAAGGAAAATGAATACCATAATAACAATTGCATCAATTTCACAGCTTCACAAATCAAAACGAAATCAAAACAAAATTCAACAATAGCATGAGAATTTGATTTCTTCCATTACTTCCTTTTACAACCTCCCATACAATAATCTAAGAATAACAAACAGCAAGTTTACATATCATTAAATAAATTTGGGTATTTCTCACGAACTTTAGCTTCTCATTCCCAAGTGGCCTTTTCCACCCCATGGTGATGCCATAACACTTTGACTAAAAGAATGACTTTACCTCTCAAAACTTGTTCTCGGGTGTCAAAGATTTTCATCTGTCTCTCTTCATATGAAGCATCCTCTTTCACCTCCAAATTTGTCTAGTCTAAAACATGAGAAGGATCAGGCTCATACTTGCGGATCATGGAGACATGAAACACATCGTGTACCCCAGATAGTTGCGGTGGCAAGGCAAGGCGATAAGCTACCTCCCCCATCCGTTCTATAATATCAAAAGGGCCAATGAACCTAGGTGACAATTTCCCACTTCTCTCAAATCTCATTAAACCTTTTCTAGGCGATATCTTCGAAAATATATGATCACCCACATCAAAAGATAGGGGTCTTCTCCTCCGGTTAACATAACTCTTTTGTCGACTCAGAGTCGTATCTAACCGTTTCTGAATGAGAGTAATTTTCTTGGTGGTCTCACAAACCAATTCCGGTCTAAGCATAAGTGAATCCCCTACCTCAATCCAACACACCAGTGACCTACACAGTTGCCCATACAAGGCTTGTAAAGGTGTCATCCCAGTACTAGTTTGAAAACTGTTATTGTATGTGAACTCCAATAAAGGCAAATGTCTCTCCCAAGAACCTTTGAAGTCTAGTATACAAGCTCTCAACATGTCTTCTAAGATTTGGATAGTGCATTCCGACTATCTGTCGATTTGCGGGTGGTTGGCGCTGCTAAAAGTTAACTGGGTGCCCGTAACGGTTTGTAAACTTTGCCACAACTGTGTGGTAAAACTGGGGTCTTGGTCCGAGACAATACTCACCGGAACTTCATGAAGCTAGACAATCTCTTTAATGTACAGTTCTACTAGGTAATCAACTAAGTCACCTATACACATAGCGAGAAAATGAGCTGACTTAGTTAGTTGATCCACCACAACCCAAACTGTATCATTACCCCTTTGTGTGCTAGGATGGCCTGAAACAAAGTCCATAGTGATATGTTCCCACTTCTATTCAGCTATAGGCAAGGGTTGCAATAACTCGGCTGGCCGTTGATGTTTTTCCTTTTCTTGTTGACAAGTCAAACACTTGGACACAAACGAAGCCACATCTCACTTCATACCTATTCACCAAAGTTGTCGGCTAAGGTTGTGGTACATTTTTGTGCCTCCTAAATACACCGCAAAGTGGGAGTGATGAAATTCCCAAAGTACCTCATCTCTACACGACTCAGGTACAAAGAGGCAATCTAGATACTGGACATTAGAATCGAAATCTACCCTAAAACCCCTTTCCTCCTTCCCTTGTGCAATTTTCTCCTTGATTGCTTTAACTTCCAAGTTACCCTGTTGTGCCTCTATAACCTAAGTAACAAGTGTTGGTTGTGCAAGGATGGAAAACAAGGTGGCATGCTCGGGAGATTCACTAAGATGCAAATTGAATTCACCTTATTCACCTAACATTTTCCATTCCCTAATTGCAATATTAGCAATGGCACTCACAGATTTTCTACTCAAGGCATCGGCAACCACATTGGCTTTTTCGAGATGGTAGTGTAATTCAAAATTGTAATCCTCTAAAATTTCCATCCACCTCCTTTGACGTAAATTCAAATCCTTTTGGGAAAATAAGTACTTTAGACTTTTATAATCTAAGAACACCACAAATTTCTCCCTATACATATAATGTCTCCACAGTTTTAAAGCAAAAATAACCACAGCTAACTCCAAGTCATTAGTCGAGTAATTTGTTTCGTGGGTTTTCAATTGACGCAAACCATACGCTACTACTTTACCCTCTTACATGAAAACACATCTCAAACTTTCTCTAGAGGCATCACAATACACAGTGTACCCCAAACCTCTTTCTAGAATGACTAAAATTGGCTCATTGGTTAATCTAGCCTTTAGCTCTAAGAAGGATTTTTCACATGATTCATTCCAAACAAATTTCACTCCCTTCCTTGTTAACCTAGTCAATGGAGAAACTAACATGGAGAAGTCTTTCATAAATCACCTGTAGTAGCCAGCAAGACCCAAGAAACTGCGGATCTCAAATACGTTCTTAGGTCGCTCCCAGTTCTACACTGGCTCGATCTTCGAAGAATCTATAGTAACCCTATCCTTAGAAACAACGTGACCCAAGAATTTTACCTCGGAGAGCCAGAACTCACATTTCTCATATTTGGCATACAACATGTGTTCCCTAAGTAACTGCAACACAATGTGAAGGTGCATCTCATTTTCCTCCTCAAAGGGTGAATATATAAGAATGTCATCCACACAAACTACCACAAACTTGTCAAGATATTCTCAGAAAACTCAATTCATCAAGTCCATAAAAGTGGCAAGAGCATTGGTTAAACCAAATGGTATCACAAGAATTTCATAGTGGCCATATTGAGTATGGAAGGTCGTCTTCAGAATATCTTCCTCTTTCACACGTAATTGATGATACCCCAATCTTAGATCTATCTTGGAGAAACATTGAGAACCCTTAAGTTGGTCAAAAAGATCATCTATTCTAGGCAACGGATACTTATTCTTAACAATTACCCTATTCAACTTGAGGTAATCAATGCATAACCGCAATGAACCATTCTTTTTCTTAGCGAAGTGAGTGGGTGCTCTCTAGGGCAAGGTACTAGGGCGTATAAAACCTTTGTCTAATAGCTCTTGCAATTGCTCTTTTAAAATAAGCAACTCTACTGGAGCTAATCTATAGGGTGACATAGAAATGGGTGCCATGCCCGACACCAAGTCTATAGAAAACTCAACCTCATAATGAGGCGGTAATTTAGTGAGATCCTTTGGAAGGGCGTCTAAATGCTCACAAGCCATCCTAAGAAATACCCCTCGCAGTCCACCATCCCCATCATTCGTCAAGGTTTCAAGAAGAAAAGTGAATTTGCCTCGACTATGAGAGTCATATCAAAGCAGTAAAAGTCTATCAGGCTTATTCCCTAAAAAATAGAAACAGTGAATAGAAACAGTCACCACTAGTAGTACACAGAGTAACCCTCCCATGACAACAATCTATAATAACGCGATAAGAGGACAACCAGTCTATACCAAGGATGACATCAAAACCTGTCATATCTAACAACACCAAACTAAAAGGGAGCCAGTGATCAGTGACATCGATCACACACCCGCGGCACCCATGATTTAGAACAATCTTACCTCCAACCGGTGATTCTACCACAAGAGAAGATTCTAATGGTTCAGCCTCTAACCCAAACATAAATGCAAACGTAGATGCTATGAATGAATGAGATGCCCCCATATCTATCAACACATTGGCCCAAGTATTATATATAAGACATGTACCTTGCATCACTATTGGACCCGTTAACTGTTCGGATGCAGTGACTGCATAGACTCTCCCTTGGGGTCTTTGTTCACTCTGGTCACCTCTTTGATGATAAACATGTTGTACCAACTATGCGAAGGTAGCCCTATGTACAGCTCTAGATGCCTGTCCAGACTAAACTAGTTGATGAGCCTGCCTCTAGCTCTGTCTTGCTTAAAACACTAAAGCACTGGTCATTCTGATAATCTGGGGACAAAACTACTTCATATGACCAGGCTGGCCACATTGATAACAAATGGGTAATTAACCTCCACCCAAGGTTTGACTCTAAAAATGAGTAGAAGTCTAACGCTATTGGTTACTCTTTCGTGGACTTACCATGGACTTGTGACCCTGTTCACCACACTGATAACAAGTGATCCCATTCTGTCCTATACTATCCGTACTCTTCCTCAACATAAGAATTGATGACACTGGCAGTAATGGTAGTAGATAAGAAGACGTAGAACCCTTCAACTTTTTGGATGCTGTAGAACTCCTCCGAGATTCGGAAAATCCTTGTCTCTTAAGTCGTCGCCTCTTCTCTTCACCTTCAAGTATGATCTCAACATAAGCTGCGAACTTCACTAGTCTATCATTAATCCTGAATCATGTTTCCCATCACTTTCATTAAAATTTCTGACCTCAGCCTCTTCTCAAACTCTAAACACCGACGCTCCTCAGTCGATCCACAAGATCCAGTGTAAAATGAGATAGGGTCATGAAGGTAGCCTCAAACTTCATCAGTATTGATTCAGATTATTCAAGTTCCTTAAACTGCCTCCTTAAAATTTTCCTTATAGTAGGAGGAAGGTATTTCTCCTGAAAGGCATGAGAAAATGCCTCCCAAGCGTGTTCAATTCGACCCTTGGCATATTTCCACCATTGACCAGCATCTCCCTTCAATTGATAACTGGCGAGTGCCACCCAAAGTTCACTCTCACGAATGTCTAAAATCTCAAAATATTTGGTGATTTGCTCAAGCCATTCATCTACCTTCAATGGTTCGGCGTCCCCAAGAAATTCGACAGGATTTGAGCGGAACAATTCTTTCTTCAGGAATGAAACCCTAGTCTCCCCTTCGATAGTCCTAGCTTCTTGCTTAGCTCTAAGAATATCAATTGACTCCCTAAGAGCCCCTGCCATCTCTCGAGCCAACACTCTCATAGCATCTTGGGCCGGTGGAGCAGCCACATTATTTTGACCCATTCCTTCTTCTTGAGGAAGGATCTTTGGTTGAGCTAGAATACCCCGACCATCTCGACGAGGTTTGTCATGACCTCTACCATGCCCATACATCCTATATAAGAGTAGATGTGGCCAAGATTAACTCAAAATTCACATACTAGTTCATCACTTCTCACATCGTTTCTCCTTAAGTCTCAATCTCATTCTCAACACATAAACATGTAAACAAATAGACCACATATGGATTGCTCTCCCAAGATATCAACTCATTTCATGACACTTAAAGAGTTCGTAGTGAAAAAAACATTGTTCAGATGCCTTTCCAAAAGGACTTTGATGAATGTAGTAGGCACAAGTCATATCCTAGAGGATTGACCCCATACACACCTAATCACAGAAATTCATAGTCAAATAAGACAACCAACCCCTCATCCGATCATGACAACCCAATGTGACAAAAGTCACTTCCCACAAGCTCTAGGTATTCAACCTAGTTAGCTCTGATATCAAATTTGTAACACCCCAGAAATAATTCCCACTGAACAACTAAAAGAAAAACATACTCCACACATCCAAACAACACTATTTCATTCCAATGTTTCTCTTTCTCATTGAACTATACTTTTCAATTTACAAAATTACAAGTTACAGCTCTTAGTTCAATAAGTAAGAGAAAGATAACATAAATACATTGTCCACCAAGCATACTAATTACATTGTGCCACTTGATAGAAAATATTTACATTTTCAAAATAAAAGTAATTAAGAAGTTCAACGATTCTATTGCAAATTTCAAAGTTCCCAAAAATTTTAGATATTAAAAGAGATAGACATCTTCTTCTTCTTCATTGACAAGGTTAGGGCTCTTCATGTCTTGAAATGTTAGTAAATAGGAAAGAGAAATTGCCCAGTAATAAATATATTTAACCAAGTATATGTATATTTGATTTAAATTATGCATGATCTCCATCAATACCCATGAATTACATTGTTTACAATTTTATAACACAACACAATTTAACATTTAATCTCCATATTTTTCCGTCCTCACACGGATGGCCAGTGGACACCTCAAACTTTTCAGTTTTGTCTTCCTCACACAATCCGACAAGTGGACACCTCATAACATTCCCATATTTGTCGTCTCCACATGAACCAGGCAAGTGGGCACCTCAAGCACATTTCCACATTCATTGTCCTCATACGAACCGAGCAAGTGGGCACCTCAGACACATTCCAAAACAATAACATCTTAACATATCACAAGGACCCTCCAATTTTACTTATCAATTATCCATTAAGTCAAAATCAAGAATAACCCTTAGGGTTACACATTAAAATTTGGGGCTTTTCCTTTCAAGTATCAATTTCCCTTAATTCATGTCTATTTACTTAATTTTCCATAATTGGTTAGCCAACCCATCATCAATTTCACCCAAAACACATCATCAACACAAAATCCATATATATACGTAATCCATCTCAATAGTCACATACACCATAAGATTCACACACGTTTAATCCAAAATAAAAATATACAAGGGTAAAGATATTCCTACCTCAAGGGTTGCAAGAAGAGAGATGAAGATCCATGCAATGAGCTTTTGAAATAGCACAACCTAATTGGTTCAAAACGTAGCTCTTGGCGTAAATAACAACTTTAATAAAGGCCTAAAGATCGATTCTTGTTATTACTAGATGAAATCTAGAGTTTTTAAGCTAGGGTTTTGGAAAGGGGATTGTTAGAGAGACAAGAAGTGTGAAAGAAATGACCTAGAAAAGTGTTTGGATCGCATTATAACTCTGCTGCCTCGAAAAGACCGCTCGAGCAAAGGGCCAAAAAACAAAAAGACCGCTCGAGCAATAAACGCAAGGTCTTAGAAGTTTTGTAGAACTACAGTGAAAATATTGGGAGCTCAAATTTTAAGCTCGAGCGACCTTTCCTTCGCTTGAGCGGTCTCGCCTGTAGACCTGCGAGATACTAGAAGCTGCAAATCTACGCTCGAGTGACCAAATGACTACTCGAGCGGTCACCCAAAATCAGCTGTTACACACACACACACACACACTCTCTCTCTCTCTCTCTCTCTCTCTCTCTCTCTCTCTCTCATGTGTTTGTATAAAATGACATCTTCATTTCTCTCCATTCTAGTCTTTAATTTGGCAAACCCAAAAATGGACTCTAACCTTTCTCTCACCACGAACCCAAAAATATCTTTAACATTCAACTCTGTACACTTAGTTGTCAAAGAGTTTACCACCGTAGTTGGGGAGAGTGGCACATGAGGATATATATACTATGGGTTTTTGTGGTAAAAATATCTATAAGCGTAAAATAGTCTACAAAATACCTCCAGTATAGAGGGAAAAAAGAAAGAAAAAAAAAAAGAAAGAAAAAAAAAAGGTGGATCTATTTGCACTCTAAAAACTAGGTAGGCCACCCCATTACTTCAAACACCTCAATCTAAAATTTTAATTTTTTTTTTTTTTGACACCCCAAATAATACTTATTATACCCCAATTTTTTTTTTTAAAACCCTAGGAATATACTCGAAACATACATGCTACACTCCATTAGTTTAATAGTCACAACAGAACAACTCAATACGGAAGAAATGAAATATGTTTGGATGTTCGAAGCAACAAAAAAATGGTTATATCTTTTCCATTCAGATACTCAATGTCAAACAAATGAAATATGTCTGGTTATTTCATTACGAGCAACAAAAAATTAGTTCTAGCTTTTCCATCTAGATCAATGTCGAAGAAATTAAATACACCTGGATACTTAATTCCAAAAATATTAAATTGCTTTGGGTAATCAGTGTCGAACAAATGAAATATGTCCGGATACTCAATTTTGAACAATCGAAAATTGGTTCAAGCTTTTCTATCTTGATACACACTGTCGAATATATGAATTTTGTTTAAAAATAAGTTTTCGAATAAATATAATTTGTTCAATACTGAATTTCTGAACAAATTTCGTAAACCCAATAGCCGAAAATGATGAACTTGAATAGAATACCTGCATTCTCTATAAATAAATAAAAAATTGCTTGGGAATGTCTTCTACATTGTCTATTATTGACTTCAATATGAAACAAAATGCAAGAATGATGAATTCAAGAAAAATAGGGTTGAGTATGAAGATGCAAAGTGAAGAATGTAAGAAGAGACGAGAGAAGAGAATATTGAGATTGATTATGCATAGAATGTCCAAAATACTTTGATTTGCACTTTTTTTCAATATCAAGTATTTTTGTCATTTTAAATAGGGACATAATAGTAATAAAAAAGTTTCACTAAGTTCAAGTGTCCAACCTAATTTTTGGGGTGCAAATAAACCCACCCGAAAAAATATCTGGTGGAACAAAAGTCCAAACGTATAGGACTTATTAGAATATGAGAATATGTTATGAACTATTTGGAATACAAGTCCATGAAAGAGAATTTTTCACTAAATTCCATATAGAAAAAAGGGGGAAGGGCAAGGAAAGCCTATGGTGTGCACCCTATCCTTAGAGGTGCATATCACAAATTGGTGTAACTTTACTCAAAATTTCGTAACATCTGTAAATCAAAACACAAAACATGCAGCGGAATAAAATCATCAGATCATACCTTTTGATGATAGAACCTCGTGGATAAATCACGTGCTTCCAGAATCAGATCAATCAATCCCAGCAGTGGGGTGATATTACAATGGTGAATATCACCCACACAAACCACAGTGCAACTGACTTGATCGTTGTTTCTTGGGAGAGAGTCAGTATATGGGTAGAAAACAGACTCAACGTTGTTTTCTCTCTTGGTTACCCATAACCATATATCAGATATATATTATATTTATCTCATTTATCCATTGGTTAAATGAGATAATATCTGATATCTATATCATCTATCCATATCATGATATGATAGATATATATCCTGAGTGGCTCATCCAAATAGGTTTGAATTCAAATTCAAAACCCATTTGGATGAGGTTCAAAAGGTTCTAAGGGTCATGCCACATGGGCGCCCAATTTCTAACAACATCAATCATAAAATGTGCAATTTCGTCAGAAATTGACGTAACAAAAATATGTTGTAACCAAATAATAAATTTTTGTAATAAAATTATACCAATTTACTTGTGGTAATGTACATATGATATGCACCTTACATATGTTTTCCCAAAAAGAAAACTCATATTCATAGTCTAATTTTGTCTAAATACAAGGGATTCATATATTTAGAAGGTGCACATGAGGATGGCAAAATGTCTCGTTTCCAAGATCCCCGACTCTCCCGACCCTAATGGAATTGGTTTGGGGATGGTTAAATAGGGTAGGGTCCGATTTGAAATGTTTTTAAAAAAATCCGATTGGGACATGGGAGATTGTTGTTTCTCCGAACCCTACCAACCCATAAATACAATAATAAACAAATAATAATATTACATATATATTTAATATTTGTATAGTATATTATTAAATTTTTTATAGAATATATATATAATATCTATTAAGTTTTTATTATGTTTTATATATAATATAATTTCAATATATGTACCATATATAATACTACCGTATGCCTGTGCCTAAAGGCACAGTGTAATTTTTTTTTTTCCTTTTCAAAGAGTAGGGAGTGAATTTTTTAAAATGTTTGACACCAGAAATATATGAATGAAGTGCATCAAATAAAAATTTTAAAACATGAAAAAAATTTATAAAAGACAAAAATAAAGATTCAAAAAAAAAATTAGTTTGAAAACCAAATTTCAGCCATCATATTATTCATGTTCCACCTTAATGCATAGCCAACATGGTCATTGACCCTCTGCATCTTCATAACATTGTTGCTTACACTAAAACATAAAAAAATCACACAATGGCAGAGACTAAATTAGTTATATAATTTTATTTGACAACCGTAACTTCCAAATTCCCTTGTTCATAAAAAAGACTCTTCTATGCTTTAGAAATGATCTCTTGTCCCGGAAAACTTATAACACTTTTATCTTATTTGACTCACAATCGTTTGATCATACCAATCGTCCGAAAAAAAAAAAAAAGTAAAAAAAAAAAAAAAAAAAAAAAAACCTATAGCAGCATTGGATATATAAA